CCCCTCCAACTGCAAGGAGAGGAAGCAGCCATGACCTGGGAAACGCCAGAACTTCCGACTCGATACCTGGGTATACTTATGACAAGAGAGGGTCTAGCACTTCAAATGGGTCAAAATATACTAACCAAACAAATCGACAAAATAGGAAAATGGGGTAACATCTTCACATCCCTCATCGGTAGAGCCCTGGCCATAAACACATCGGTTTTTTCAATGATGTGGTACATAGCCTCTATATGGACAGTTCCGGATAGCTCTATCAAAGAACTGAATCGCAAAGCCAGATCTTATCTTTGGACAGGAGACCCCAACAAAGAAAATGGCATRCCCAAGATTGCCTGGCACTATGTCACGAGAAGTCCACAGAAAGGAGGTCTGGGAATTATAGACCCTGGAACAGAGACGAAAGCCCTACAGACCAAGTGGATTATCAAACTTTTGATGAATCCTGACTCTACATGGAATAAACTGGCCCTGGACAGTATTAGAGCCTTGGCACCGACACCTTCTCCAGAAGACATGGCAGGGCAGTTCTGGGTAACGAACAAAGAATGGGCCATGACTACAGGGCGTAGAAATCGAAGGGGGGATGAAGGATTAGAAGGTTACAGACCTCCTACCCCGTACTGGTCAGCACTACTCCGAATCTGGAGAAGAATAATGCCACGCAAATCTAATAGACCTAAGTCCAAAGATGAAGTTCTCAGACAGCCACTTTTTGGGAATCAATGGATAACCAATGAGAACGACAACCCCCTTCCCCTGGAACACAGATGGCTCTCTTGGGTCAAAAATGACATATGGAAAGTCGCCCACTTGTGGAATGAAGGGAAAGAAGAATGGAAGACAGAACAAGAAATCAGCTCCCAACTGAAAGGATGCCATAAACGAGGGCCTAATCTCCAATATATCCTTAACCTCATCCCTCAAGAATGGAAGACCATATTGACTGAAGCTACACCTTGGAAACCAGGAGAGTGGGGGCTGCTGATACAAGAAACGATTCCTTCCAAAGCCTTCCAGTTCTCTCACATGCAACAAAACTCGCCCACTAAGGCCACCTTCTCCTCCTTTCCGGTTTCCTGGTCCGCTACTGGCATGCCGACCATTGTCAACACTGGAGTAGAGCCCGAAGTCTTAGATTTCTTCCTACTTCGAAAGGTGAGAGTCCTTGGTTTCTGGCCAAAGTCCATATTCAGACCTGACACAGCGATTTGCAACTTGGARTTTGACCCAGCAGAGTGGTCATGGCCACCTGACAAAACCAAGAATATCAAGTCCAAAATCCCAATACATGAGTATACAGTCAAACTGGGATACAAATTGTTACTCAAAACCAAAGACCCTGACCCTATCATCAGAGAAAGATGGCGGACTCTGCTAGGACAGGAAGCAGATAAACTCACTCAGATTCAATGGAAGMAWTTCAAGTCCATCAGACCAATCAAAATCAGAAGTCTTCAATGGCTAATCACGTATGCGGCACTACCTGTGAATCAATGGCTACACATCAGACGAAAAGGWTCAGACCCCARCAGTTCCGATCAATGTACGGTCTGTACGGAARYAGCRGTAGAAGACATAATACACTGCCTAATACAATGTAAGGAGGCAACGGACTATTGGGCGAGAGGCTCAGCACTATGGGACTCCTTATTCCTGACCCCCTTCCCTGAGCAACCCATCCAACTCCTCCTCCTGACTAACATTCCCGAACAGTTCAAGAAGCCTGAAAGGATTTGGTTCGGAATCATAAGGAAAGTGACATTGTGGGTCATTTGGAAGGAAAGATGCAGCAGGACGATTGAAGGAATAGCCGACGCACGTGAAAAAGTTTGGACCGAGACCAAAACGATGATTCAAGCGGAGATCCTATGCAGATGGCGGAAGATCAAACAATCATGGACAGAAGATGAGGACCAACAAAGAAAGGCGAGGCTGAGCTTCAGCAGAACCTGGCTGTTAAATGGTAACGTGGCGGACCTAAGAGAAGATCGCATCTGCTGGAAAGAATGGCACAACTCAAGTTCAGGGAGGGGTCACCAGCAACATACATCGGTGGAAGGACAAAACTTACTCTGACCGGAATGATCACAAGAGAGATCGATGGCTGCAGCATCGGAGCGACGGTCCAGAGAGGAATGCAAGGTGTAAGGAGGAAGGACACCAGCAAACTGTAAAGAGAGGCCCAAAGTTCAGCTAAGCTTGGACAGGGGACGAGTGACAACAAACACCTCTTTATGAAGCCTGCAAACGTCTCAATTCTCTCCAGCA